GTCTTGCGCCCGCTAGGTAACCCGTGCTGTGTCGTCGTCCTCTTTGTTCTCCTCAAAACATTGATCCGATCCGTTGGGAATGAACAATGGAAGCACTCACCAACGTTTTTTACCAGCACAATCTGTGATCGAAATTGCTGGTCTTGGAGATCGAGCTCCGATGAATTCCAACGGAGCGGGGAATAAGGAGGTCAATATGCGCGTCAGACACGGGGAAAGTTGAGAACTGCTTCCTAAGGGACCGGTCTCAGGTTTGAGGAACGCTGGCCGGTGTTGATGGTGGTGGTGGTGTTGCGTCGTGATTCAAGGCAGATGAGGAAGCTTGTGATCAATTGCACCTTGTATCTTTCTTGTTCATTCACCCGTCAATACAAAAGTAAAGTGGCTGGGGATAAAAAAGCGCACGCCCACCGGCCGGTCCGTGGGTGACTGGCGGCCAATGTAAAGTGCAGCTTCAGATCACAGATCGATGTCGGGTGCCAGCACCAAATGGGAAGGTATCCCTGAGGACGGTTTTGAGATCGGCCCTGGTTCACCTGGTCATTGTGTAGGCATTTCTTGAGGTATATCTTTGAGTTCTGACAGCTCTAGAGCAGCGACATAGGTCAATTCAAACAGAGTCCATAAACAGCGACATTGGCAGAGAGGCAGGGTGGCAGGAGACGAATGCCAGAGAGCCATTACGGTGACGCAATAGTGCATAATACAACGTGTAGGGTGAAGTATATAGCCTACTGCTGAATCGGATGTCGGCTGAGTTGCGCCTGGCCATGCTCGGTGTATTATGTCATCTTGCACATTTCCATTCATTTCGACTCGTTTCCCCTATTAACACAAACACCCTTTCCACAAACAAACTGGTGTCTACCAAGGATATCTGTGTGATATGTGGTCGTCGTACAGTAGATCCGTAGCTGATGTCCTAACAACGGGGGTTGAAGTCTTGTACTGTAAGATCCATGGCCCACTCCCAATCTCAATTCATGATGGCAGACATGTCTCTCACTTTGCTCTGTCCTCAATTCGTCTATTAACATATTACATACGACTCCCAAGTCTTATATACAGCAATCTGGACGCGATGCAGATATCCAGCCCGTTTCGTCGTCATATCGTCGCATCGTTCAACGCCTCGTGATTAAAAGGAAAGAGGGAAGGGTGACAAGATTCTATATACAACCAATCCAAATGATGCTCGTGGTAGCATTACTGTAGACATGCAGGCCTGGTCTGTGGTCTATTCGTGGTCTCGAATGGAGAAGATAGGTCGAGGCAATAACTTCGACGAGCGGCACACCTGGGATCGATTTTCTTGCCTATTAAGGCCCTTCCCCCAATAAATTGATAGGGCGTGGAGGTCGGCTGCCAAACTGGTTTCGTAAGACTCGTATTATCGTGGCCATCCAATGTCGCAAAGCATTCCGTAGTCCCAGTGCGGGAGTCGAGATCGACCTCAAGCAGCATTCGCCACAACAGGCCTCTTCTCCGGCTCCCAGCCTCCAGTCTCTCTGTTGATCCCAAGTCCTGTTGATGATTTCGCTTGCCTCTCAGCCTCCAGCGGTACCTGGACAGGCTTGTGAATCCTCAAGCACCAGAGAAACCAATCTTCCAGCACCAGCAGGTTTAAGAGCACATCATTGAACTTCCAACCCAGGCAGCACACGATGGAGCCCGCCACCGCATCGAGGATGAAATGGTTCGCTGTCGCGACGATGGCCGTCAGAATGGAAAAGGGGTACAAGAAGCCGATGGCAAGGCAGAGCATCCGCCGCGTGCTCGGCAGCCGAATGTGAGGCGCAAGGTTGGGGTGAGAGTTGTTGAAGATGGGAAGATGAACGATCTTCCAGGGCTGCGATTTCTCGGGGGCCAAGGGGATCGTCATGATGGTGACGCCGATCAAGAGGGAATAGCCAAAGTGCAGGGAGGGCATTGCCGCTGTTCAAAAGTAGAACTATTAGCATACATGACTTTTGACCGCTTACTCCGCTACCAATGCGCTCCAGGAGGGAATCCCGAGAGAACATCGGAGAGAGCTCATACTCACCATATTGATTACAGAACCGATTCTGCGTCCACACCGAGCTTGCGCCTTCTTTACCATGCACAGTATCAACAAACCCGAAGCTCTTGGAAATTTCAGCCTGGGGTCCATCATATTCCGGATCACTCAGCAACCGAGGTGGCATGCACGGCCAGAGCGTGAAAACGATGAAGGCAAGCAAATTGCAAACTGCCATTGTCCTTCGGCGCGCCTCGTAGAGCCATGGTCCTGAAGGTGACCCCACCGGTACGGCGTCGCCTCTTTTGCCGATTGACTGAGCAGCCGCACGACGTTGAATCAGCCGGTTCCTAGTGATGGTATAGTAGTACAACCACACCAAGAAGGAGATGGTGCCAGGAATGTGGATAAAGCTGTACAGCCAGTTGATTGACATCATCAAGTGCGGGTAGGACATGAAGAATTTCTGGACAGGAAGTTCCCAGAAGATGTGCAGTCGCTGTTCGAGTTCGATGACTTGCAGCGCATGTCGGCGCGCAACGTTCACCGTTCCTTCAACCAAGCTGAGGGCAGTGAATGCTCGGCCGAGCTGGTAGACCTATTTACCACGAGTCTGTCAGAACACAAGTCTCCTGGTGGGGGACGGGGCCGTCTGCCGTATGTTTAGACTGACCCAGTATATCAGAGCCCAGTACCAGGCTTCGACCAAGAATGGAAACTTGTGCAATATTCTGCTGAGTAGTCTATGTCTGAACATTGCTGTATTCGGTGTCTGAACCACCCATCGGTATCCCAAGACAGGTATCTTCAGCTCGCGCTCCCGCCATTTGTCCTCTTGACTTGGTAACAGGGATGGACTCAGAGATCTCTTCGATCGGGATATGTGTAGATTTTCAATGTCCGCATCTGCGCCGCTGTCGACCGCGCGAGCGAGGGGAAGGTCAGGGACGTCGTGGTCATCTTCTTCGACCGAGAAGGTGAGAGGGCTCCGTGAGGACGAAAGGGAATCCGGCGCTCGGTTGATCCAAGCACCACCAAAAAGGAGGACGACCACGGCCAGAGGCTCGAGGAATGCGCCTGCGCCCATTGCGAGATCTTCCCTTCGTCTTCGTGCGGATATCTGGGCTTCGAATGTGCGTTCGCCGCCGTATTCTTCGATCCTAGTCTCTGCCTGATCTTTCCACTCCGTCAGAGCAAACCGAGGCAGTCCAGAACGATGACGTTAGCTGTTCAGGAAAATGGCCAGAAGAATCTCCCACTGTCAGAGATGCGGGACAGCAGCGCATATGTATGGACAGGGAACAGGAGAAGCACCTCACGGGCGGGCCGGATACCAGAAGAAAAGAGCAGGGCAGCAAAGGGTATATGCCAGCCACCGCCTTGCCTCTGCATAGGGAAAAGGCCCGCCAGTGCCATCACTTGGTCTGAGTAAGGTAAGGCCCATTCTAGGTATCACAGTGGCTCTGGCTAGCGATCAGAGTTTCCAAGAGCCGGTTTAGTCAACGGTTCGTGTTCTGTCTGGAACGGAATAGTAGAGCTCTACTGGCTGCAAGCCAGAGTATAGGTCAGCAGATTCCATTGCGGACCACAAACAAAAGATGACAAGGAGCGAATGGACAGTTGACAAGGCCGAGAGAGCGGTGGAGATCGGCTGGAATTGTGACAAGGCTTGCCTGCATCAAGTAATCAGGCACACATCCGAGTTCCGGCAGCTCTATGCATCTTATGTTGGATGTGCTGATGGGTTAATTTTTGGATTCGTCCGTCACTTGCTCCGCAGTTGAGTTTGCGGCAATAAATAGCTTGTGCAAGTATCACTCTGTGCGAGCATAATGAAGGGACCATATGTAGTACAGGGAGTCGTCATTGATTCTTTTTTGTTCAACTCCTCTTTCCTCCCGCCTTTCTTCTGCCCCGCTCCCTTATGCGTATCTCTACGAGGTATACGAGGTACATATCTGGCAAGTCTAAGAGAGTGGTGGATCCATACACTACAAGTCCAGGTGTAGGTAGGGACTCTGAACAAAAGGACGGTGGTGACATTCTCCAACACTGCTCTCTCGTCCTTTTCTCATGACCGGATTGTATTACACAAGGTCATCCTCTCGGAGGTTATGCCAGAGACCTGGTTGTGTCATTATGCAGAGCTAAAGGATCCAAAGCTTTTTCACAAGCTCCGAAGCCTTGTCGCCAGCATCCGGGCGTCCCGGGAAGGCCGAGTCACGGGATTTCGCCTTGATTTCTTCCGATGTACTTTCTCCTATTGGCTACTGCATCGGGCGCCAACATCTCGGCGCGAGCCCAGGCGGCTGGGCGGCCAGATGGCCAAGTGTTACTTGCACTCAGGTGAAAGAACTTGTAAAAAGTGTATTGGAACTACTATATCGATAATACACTTAATCTAGCGTGACCCTCCATACGACATGGCTTGCGTCGCAGCTCGGTGCATCGCAATGTCACGTGATACCGAAGATGGCGCGCTAGTGGGGTAGAGAATTAACTGGGCGCGTGCTGGGCCGCTCTCAAAGCCAGGGCGTTCTCCTCCACTCGTCCTCATACCTGAAGCACAGAGTACCTCGTCTCGAAACAGCCTGGCTGGACAACCCCAAACGCTTTATCTATTGGATCATGCAAAAGTTTGTGGGTCTCCCGGCCCGTCGCTCAATGCCCGAGGCCGGGTCAAGCAAGTATCTAAGTGCCACACTAGATACCTGTTTGAAGATGATCAGGCTGAACGCAGTTTTGCTCCAAAGGGGATTGTATCCTTGGAATATGATGGCACGGTCTGTATTGTATGGATTTCTGCTAGCCTTACTGATGGGTTTTATAACGCGATTAAAAGGTTCATCCAGCAAATCAAAGGAAAGCGCCCCGTTAGTGGCCAGCCCAGCCAATCATTTTCATCTGTCACAGCCTTGGAGGAACAATAGTGAAACAGGTACCACCAAATCTTTGGATATGAAGTATCAGAGCTGACAGGATGTAGCCGTAGGCAATGATCATGGCACACGAGTTTGACTATTTTGCCGATGTTTTGCGCGCCACCCGGTTGATTGTGTTTATGGGTACGCCACATAGAGGAAGTCAGGTTGCGGCAGCGTCGGCTCCCCTGGCAACATTTACCAATTTGTGGTTGGGTCTCTCCTTCACCTCGAATTTTACTGCTTTGATGAGGCTCGATCTGATCAGCATGTTGTCGCGAGATTCGGCAAAGCTCGATGAGGTCAACCAATCATTCAAACGAAGAGCCGCTGCCATGACCATTATTTCGTGCTACGAAAGAGTGATACCTCCTGGTTGTTCTAAACTGGTGAGTCCATTTCGAGGCTGCTGAAATCTTTTCATATTGTGTGCTGAGAAAATCAGGAGGTCGTTGAAAAACAATCTGCCATTCTTCGACTACCGGAGGAAATCGAGATCTCTATCCAAGCCGATCACATGACCATGTGCCGCTTCTCGTCAAGGAATGATTCTGGTTACGAACCACTGGCGCGAGCCATAGTCTATGCTGTGAAGCAGATGATGCTAGACACCTCGTATCATTGTACGTCAATATTCCTAGCCAGTGCTGAGGGAGAGGCTAAAGTGCACATGAAAGCTTTCACAGAATTGGAAAGTAGATACATGGCGACATTAAGCCGACAACCTGATGTTTCTATTGATGAGCCCTTGCACGGTACTTGTGTCTGGTCCGTCTCCACTGAAGAATATCGCGATTGGCGGGCCGAACCTAAGCCAGCTGTTCTGTGGTTGACAGGCGATGCAGGGTGTGGCAACACTGTGCTTACCAACTTCCTTGTCCGAGAGCTGAGAGACGGTCTCTTCTGAGAGTACTCACAGGGCAAATCCTGTCGGTCAAGAAAGACGTGGTCCGTCAGATCAAGGTGGCTTACAGCTCGGGAAGACATGAATATGTGCCATCCTTCGAGACTCTCTGGCACGTATTCGAAATGACTGTGCGAGTCATCTCGTGCGCTCGTCTGTACATTGTCATTGATGCCTTGGATGAATGTGAGGAGAAGTCACGATTACTGTTCCTAGCTAAGTTAATCAATATGATACAACCCAGGAGCCTGGATGGCGGCGAGACGTGGTGCAAAAGAATCAAGCTCATCATCAGCGGACAGCCCCTCGTCAGCCGAGCTTGGAAAATTGGGCATGAAAGCCTCCCCCGTTTCTACATTGATATGGAGAAGCGTCCCGAGAGTTCGGTGGAGGACCTTCAACGGTTCGTCGACTACAAAGTGGAAGATCTGGTTGACAACGCCATCTGCTCCGAGGCCCTCGGCGAGCAGTTGAAGCGGACTCTTCCTTCTCTGGCCAGAACTCGTTTCTCTGGCTGAGCGTCGTGCTGGAGGACGTTAAGCAGGACTTGCTTGAACTACCGCGATGCCGATGTACAAAGGGTATCTTAAAGGATTCGTACACGAAGCATCTTCCACTGATATCGGAAAGCCAATTGCCACGATTGAGGTGTTATCTGCAACTGCTGGTAGCATGTGCGAGACCGTTGACGCCATCTGAAGTCGACGTCTTCGCGACACTGCACCATCAGCAGTCGACCGCGTCTATTTCTCCCATCGATGGGGCATTGGTGCAGAATAGCCTTCATCGCGTTCTAGGGCCTCTGATCAAGTTTCCCGATGGAAAGGTCCAATTCATCCACTCGACGGTAAAGGGATATCTCTTGGCCCTCCAATCTGAACCCGACCGTCTTCACAAGACTCACGGTGTGGATCTCGACACGGCGCATTCGCTTCTGGCGAAAGCTTGCATCGAAACCCTTCTGCAAGAGGCGGATGGCCCCGATGCACCCGACGAAGAGAGACTTTCACCAGAGATGTCCCCGTCCAGTCCCACCTCTGCCTGTTCTTCGAGAGGCCAAGCCGACCACGACCAGGACGCACCTTGGACGGAACTGTTCAGCATTGAGGATATCGCCTTCCTGCGAGATGAAAACACCATCTCAGACGACGTCTTGTCACATCTCAGCGGTCGCTACCCGAGTTACGATTATGCCACGCGGTACTGGGATTATCATGACACCAAGGCCGACTACCTCGCTGATGCTTCTACACAACAAGATGCAATCAAGCTGCTGTCCTGCGGGTCACCGCGACTCTCTAGATGGTACAAGTACAAAGCCAACCATTCACCTACTGCGATGCCTGGTCAATCTGAAGTTGACGCTCTGGTCCTCGCGGCACTGTTCAATTTCCTAACAATCTTACAGACGCTCTTATCGACCCGTGGACCTCCAAGGCAAGGCAACAAGCTTCAATCTGCACTATATTGGGCGTCGTCCCGCGGTCATGTCCAGTCCATCAACGTCTTACTCGAGTACAAGGCACCTCTTCTCGACGCAGATCGTGATAGATCAGCGTTGGCTATCGCCATTCAAAGCGGACACGCTGAGGCCTGCGAAGTGTTACTCGGCACGGACGATGCTGATCCCAATCATTCCGGTCTGAGAACTCTACCACCCCTTGCCCTCGCAGCGGCCCATAGCCATGTCGAAATATTGGTCAGGCTGCTTCAGCATGCATCCATTGACGTGAATCAGACCGATGCGTCAGGACACACGGCCCTCATCCAAGCGTGCTGTTACGGCTCCGACCAATGTCTGAAAGAACTATTGCGAGACGACCGCACCAACATCAACTCGCGTGATAGAGACGGCCGCAGCGCCCTGATCCACGCTTCCATGTCAAGCAATGTATTCGCGGTGGCAAGGTTGCTGAGGAAGTCGTTATTAGATATGCATGTGTGCGACAAGTACGGCCGAAATGCCATGTCATATGCGGCCGAGAAAGCCACACTCCTCATCGTAAGGCGCTTGTTCCACGCGTAAGTGTCTATTGCCAAAGAGGATGCCAACGGTCGAACGCCATCTCGTGGACAGCCAACAGCTCCGGAGCGACAAAGGACCCCGACCATCACGGACAGTGTGTCCTTGTATACCTCGTCAAGAAATACCCTACAGGCGCCAACTCCCAGGACAAAGACGGTTGGCCGCCTCTAGCCTGGGCCATGGACCGACCTGGGTATCTCGAAGCTATCCGAATCCTTGTCGAAAAGGGCAAAGCGGACGTCAATCAGAGAAGTCGAGCCGGCGGTCGTTCCTTGCTGGATTGGGCGGCCACTGAGGGGTTTACGCAGATTGTCGAGTACCTGTTGAGTCTGCCGCACTTGGACAAGAATGCGACAAGCGCCGAAGGCCGATCGCCGTTGTCATACGCCGCGGCAAACGGCAACGTGCGTAGCGTAGGACTGCTTTTGGGCGAGAGCGAGGTCAGGGCGGATTTGCGGGATTCGAAAGGGAGGACCGCCATGGATTGGGCACGGATGAATCATCAGGACGCAATTGTTTCCGTACTATCTGAACACGGTTTGGAGTAGCAGCTTCTTTTTTCGAACAGGGTGTCGTAACACTCACGCTCCTCGCCGGCGTGTTGATATAACTGTGGTTCTGTGTCTGGCTTTGTCGCGGGCTGATGAATGACTGGTCGACATGTCCGTGCTTTTGCTGACCATGGCTGCTATATTACTAAGCGTGGGGACTTGGACGCCGTGTTGAGCTATCGAGTCCGTCGCTGGCATCCTTCTATCACCTCGCCAGCAATGCGCACTTTCGACGCCGTGCTGACGTCGCACATCTCGATCAGAGGAATATCTGGCGCCTCCCAGCTGTAACTTCGTCATAAGAACCGGGACCCTGGTGGCAGGTGGTCTGGAGGCCGATGCTGCGTTCTGTCGGTTTGCGAAGCTGTAGCGAATCTTGTCTTCTCTGAAGGACGTCGCATACCTAGAGGATCTGATCGTGCTTAAATCGGAGGTCAAGCGCCCAGTTGGCACTATGGATACCATGTCTTCAACCAATCTTCCGCCCTACGTTGCCCACTCCTCTGCCCACAACACTGACCAAGAGCTGTCCCTCTCCCTTCTCACCTTCGACATCTCGAATTCCCCACCCTGCCGAGCCAAATGCACTCAGATCTCTTGCTAATTGAATCGTATGCTCGTTGGCCAGTACATCTCGCCCCACCTGTATTCTGCCGACATCCTCAGAGCCCATGGTCATCAGGGTGAAAACGGTGTCGACAGCCTCCAGACTCACACATCCTCCTCGCTCGATGCTCTCGAGGAGCTGGAATGCGCTCATCCGTCCAATATCCTCAGGCGGTTTTCCTCCCTCGGGAGGGCTCGCTGAGTCTGCAGAGTACAAACATCCGGACGAAGTCTCAGCCACCAGCGACAGGCCAAACCCGAGCCCAACCTTCTTTTTGGCATTTGGGTTGTCTTTTGTCGGTGCAGGCACCAGAGTGGCACTGCTGACGTCCGAAAAGATATAAATGTCGCCTGCAAACTGGTTCAACACGCCCCTCGCTGCCTCGATCATTCTTGCATTGTTCTGTCCACTCACGCCTGTCGAATAAGCCACGCCTCTGATCCGCTTCACTCTCCCTGGATTGAGCATATGTAAAGTCTTGGGCAGCCGCACTTGGTGGCCGAACACCAACTGTACTTCTCCCGCGCCGCCCATGCCCCTGGGGCCAGGATTGGACCGTTTTAGAATCCTCAGCTCAATGTCTCTCTCAATGCCAAGCTTCGCGTAGAGGGGCAGAATTGCTGTTCTGACGGAGTCCACGCTCACATCCCCCCACGTTTCCGGGGTCGAACTCGTGATCACGCCGGGACCAGTGAACAAGATGTTGAACTTGGCCTTGCTGAAGGGCGCCAGCAGGCATATCGGAATCAAAAAGTAGGCCAGTCCTCGTGTGTTCGTGGCAGGGATCTCGTGTCTCAACACGCCCGAGACGCCGTCCGCTCCGCTGCCCGGCGCCGACCCAGTGATCAACCCGGGTTTGTACAACAGCACCGTGCCTGTGTACGAGATTTCAATGTGTGAGCCATTCGTGACTGCTTCGAGGAGTCTCAAGAAGGAGATTTCGTGTGGCCCCAGCCCTGGGTTGGTGGGTGAATTAGGACGGATTTGATCGATACGGATGGGACGACCAAGCAACGTAGAGAGGATCAAGCGCGAAGTCAGGGATTTGTGGGAGGAGAATCGGAGGGGAGGTTGTGAGGTCGACATTTTTGGTATAGGAGAGTCGAAAGATCCAGGGTCAGCTCATGTTTTTTGTGAGTGCGCCAGTTTCATGTGTCTGCGCTTGAGAATGGACTTTCTCTAAACATTCATCAGGAAAAAAAGTCCAACAGGCCGCTTCTCCGCAGCACACCAAAATTTTCTCCGCAGTTGGACTCGATCTGAATTCTCCCGCTGCTTTTTGCCTCTGACGTTAACCGTCGGCTTCGATCAGCATTTGACTTTTTCCCAAGACCTACTCACTGCTACTGTATATTCGCGGGCCGCAGTCCTCTGCTGCGTACATTAGTAAGTCAGGAACATAGCCGCATTCGATGAAGGCAGCCAGGAGTGCGCCTAGATATATCCCAGTTGGTCATACACAGTTCAGGCTCTTCGCTGCTACACGGCTGTGTGCACGTCAATTCCCTCTCAAACTGACCCAGTGCCACTCCAGAAGCCACTCCACCATGGCCGCCGCGTTAAATCTGCCCAAATGGTACCGAGAACAATTGAGCAGTTCTATGTGGTACGGCTTCTCGCTGACGGTTTCTCAGGCTCAAAGATAACTCGCACCTGCTCAAGCCGCCCATCAACAACTACTGTGTCTATGCGCCCTCGTCCTCTACTGGTGGCCTGACAGTTATGGTTGTCGGTGGCCCGAATGCTCGAACAGACTACCACATCAACACCACGCCCGAGTTCTTTTACCAGCATAAGGGCTCCATGCTGCTGAAGACCATGGACACCTCAACCACACCACACACGCCTGTCGACATACCCATTCACGAGAACTCAATGTTCCTCCTTCCTCCCAATACTCCGCACAACCCTGTCCGATTTGCAGACACCGTGGGCGTTGTACTGGAACAGCCGCGGCCAGAGGACTCAGTTGACACGCTAAGATGGTATTGCAAGAGTTGCCATAATATTGTTCATGAGGCGAGCTTTCACCTCACGGACCTGGGCACCCAGATCAAGGAAGGAGTGTTGGCGTTTGAGAACGATATGGACGCCCGGACGTGTAAGAATTGTGGCACGGTTGCGACGTCGAAACCAGCACCAGGTGAGATTCAACAGCCTCCGAGATTCCCAGATGAATGAGCAAGTGACACGGGTGGTCATCCGGTCCCAACCATCAATGACTTTTCCTTTTCTTCTACAGCATCTGCTGCAGATTGTCCCTGTATCTTACTTTCCGCGGCAATCTGTTTGAGAACATCTTCTGCAACTTTGATTGCTGCTGGAGGCAGTCCGGCCAGCTTTGCAACCTTCAACGCATGAGACTGTCTATTGATGCCCCTCTTCAATCGGTGCAGGAACATGAACGAGCCATGTTCATCCTCCAGCACATCAGTACAATAGCAGCCCAGTTTGGACCATTTTCGTGTCATATCTGCCAGGCCATGAAAATGGGTCGCGAAGAGTGTTCGGCATTTGTTGATGTGATAGAGGTGATACAAGCTCGCATATCCAACGGCAGTTCCGTCTTCCGGGGTCGTGCCTCGCCCTACCTCGTCCATGATCACAAATGACTTGGGAGTGGCGTGCTTCAGAATCGCTGCTGTCTCTAGCATCTCCACCATAAAGGTAGATTGGTCTCGAAACAAGTCATCCGCAGCCCCTATCCGACTGAAGATCTGGTCCACAAGCCCGATCTCAGCGTGGACGGCTGGCACGTACGAGCCGGCCTGAGCAAGTAATGTAAGCAGAGCATTCTGCCGGAGAAACGTACTCTTCCCACCCATGTTGGGTCCTGTCACTAGCCACATTCGCTCCTTGTGGTCAAGGACGAGATTGTTGCTGACAAAATATCTACCTTGCTCTTCTAGCCCTGCTTTGACTGTAGGATGCCGGCCCCCGATGATTTTGTGCTCTGTACCGTTGTTGAGGAGAGGTCGAACCCACGATTGCTCCCTCGCGAGGAGGGCAAAGCCGCATGCAACATCTAGTTCGTCCATTATTGCCGCATTGCGCCTCAGTGTTACCAGGTTCTTGATGACAAGCTCCCTCAGCGTTGCAAAGATTCGCTTCTCTTCCTCGCGGATGTTTAGAATCGCTTGGTCAATCCGGCGGCCCAACCGAGTCCAGTCGCCCAGATAGAAGGAACGAGTACTCTTGGAGGATGAGACCATCTTGGCATGGATTGAATCCAATTTCTCTCGATCAAAGCCTGTGGCACTGCGAATATGGCAAATGTGGCCGAGGCCAGGTGTGGACTTCAGCATCAACGTCGGCGCTGAGAGTTCCTCTCGCAGCCTGTTCGCTAGGTGAACTTTCTCTGTCTGGAGCGAGTCCAGGTCTTCGTGGAATCGATGCAGCGTCTCACTAGCATCGCGACGCATTATCCAGGGCTCTTCAAGTTCGATCTCGTCCTTCTTTTGATCCTCCAATTTGCTGCGGGCTTTGACTGCCTTGGGCAATAAATCCAATTCCTCTGGACCACTTTGCAATACGACATCATGTGCCATGGCCGCAACACTTGCTGCTTCGTCTTCTTCAAGCCGATGCTTCTGCATGAGGCCTTGTTCGTCAATAGCCGAAGAGATCCGAGCCTGGAGCTCAGCTGGACCTTGCAGCTCAAAACGCTGCAGAAGCTTCCGGAGAGGAAGCACCACATGTGCTTGGTTCATCCCGTTGGTTTCTGCCAGGTTCAAGTCCTGTTCCAACGACTGCAGAAGATCATTCGTCGCGACGGTTTCGGTTATGGCGCTTGCTAATGACAACATGTCATCCGCATCTCCTTTGTTCAGCGCAAATTTCTGAACGATGCGTTGGACATCGAATGTTCTTCGAAGTCGGAAGATCAACGACTCCGCAAATTCCTGGTTTTCAACGAAGACTGTGACCAAATCAAGCCGATCATTAATTTCACCAAGCGAGGCCGACGGGGATGTGAGACGGTCTCGTAGAAGGCGTGCACCACTTTTAGTTGAGGTCCTCTTGACAGCATGAAACAAACTCCCCTTTCCAAGGCCGTCTCGGGCGGTTTCCAAGATCTCCAGGCCTCTGAGACTGTTGCGGTCAATGTTCAGGATAGCCTCTATTTCCCGTTGACGTGGAGGCTGCAAACGAAGCTGTAAGCCCTGCAGCCGATGGCGAACATAGTCTAGAAGTCGGTGACCAGCATGCTTTTCTGCCACGCTGAAACTCTCATCTGCGTTTGCAGGCACGGGAGATTCGAGCATTTCATTCCATTCGGTCATGGATATAAAATCACTATCTGTCTCATGCAACGTGAGTAGTCGATGGTCTCGGCCGACTATATTCTGCACCTCATTTTGAATTTCTTCGGGAATGTTAGAAGGCAGAATGATCTCCCGGGGATCAATTCTGGTCAATGCTGACGACAATGAGCCACGACCTGTGATCTGCGTGTAGAAGTCGCCAGTAGATAGGTCCAACCAAGCAAGACCGAGCTTTTGCTCAGGCTCTGGTTCTGGAGCTCCCACACCACCATTGCTTTGCTCGATCATGACAGGCTCCGGGGTAATCGATAGCAGGAAGTTGTATTCGTACGGATCCAGGAACTTCTCGTCAATCAACGTACCCGGGGTTATCACTCGTGCCACCCGACGATCGTGTTTGAGACCACCGGATTTAACCTTGCCAGAGACCTGGACCAGGAATTCTTCACATATGGCCACATATTTGTTGAGATCTTGGACAAGCATTTTCAAGAACCTGTCCAACTGGAAAAAGGGAAATCCCGCCATTGCGACAGGTCCAAGCTTGGTCTGCTTGTGGCCGACTTTGAGATTGAGGAGAGGCCCATATTCTTCCGCCTGTTCAAAGTACAACTCGTAGAAATTGCCGACTCGGGTGAGGAGGACGCAGTTGTCAAATTTGGCCATGTTAGATCTCGCACCCTTGAGGACCGTCGGGTACTGGGGCTCATCATCGGCAGGCAAGTCAGGTAGGGGTTCAGCCTGGATCGTGCCCTGTTGTAGTTCTTTCACTTTCTTCCTTGACACCGATTTTGCCCCCCTCTGTTGGCCTCGAGCGAGCCATGGTTGGAAGGTAGGCTTTACGGTTTCTCGGTGCTGCTTATGGCCCGTGAGGAGGGTCCGGGGACGACTGATGCTCTCTAGCAATCGGAGGTCTCGGCCATGGAGTGATTGAATGAATGGTCGCATTGGGTCACTCTGGATGTGGTCAAAAGATGATTGAGGTCAACGCGCTCGACGCGTAAATTGCTGAGCGGAATAAACGCCGCTTTTAGGAAGCTTCATGGAGGAAGAACGATGCAAAGAGATGAAAAGCACTCCGTGGCTGCAATACTGATTCAATGGATGGAATCTGTATATGTTCATGCGTCCAGTCTTTGAGAGAGCAATTGGCCTTATTCGCAGCTTGTAAAGGTGAGCAAAAGTAAGTTGGGTGAACCAGATATTCAGCGAGAGAATAATTGAAATTTACTGCAGACATGATGAAACAAAGGATGTGGGTGTAGGTCCGTAGACATGCCTTCATGGCTGTTTACATATGGGGTTCGTTTGAGTCATTTCTTCGATCTCATAATGTCGCTCTCGTCCATTGGCCTCTGTCATGCAGCATCGCGTCAATCGACATATCTCTCTACAAACTCTTCACCCCAGCCCTTTAACTCCATTTTCAAGAGACCCCCTCTTTCGACCTCCTCCCTCTTCTCACACAACTCCTCAACATCCCAATTGGCCCAAATTAACCTTCCTGTGAGGAACTTCGCATCAGTCTCAGCTTTAGCGGCAGCCCAAATGCACCAGGACGCTGGTAACCGCACATCATCCTTCGCCATGTCTCGCTGTCCTTTTCTTGCCATTGCGGTCGGGATTTCACCAGGCTGTAGGTTGAACACGACGAGGTCATCGGGATGCTCGGCTTGGAGGAAGCAAAAGATGTGCAGAGCTGCAAGTTTCGAGGCGGCGTAGGCGGAGAATGTAGGTATCAGTGGTGGAGGCAGGTGTGCAGCACCAGTCGAGATATTGATGATGACGGGCTTGGAAGCTGACGAGTCGTGTGGTCCCACCGAGGGCACTTGTGCTGGTGGACGGGTCTTTAAGAATGCTTTGATGACAACGAGAGCGCCTTTGACGTTCGTCTCGAAGCATTGCCAATAGTCTTCAAGCTCTGATTCCGCAAGGAGAGAGTGACGATCCAGATACCCTGCGTTGGAGATGAGAACATCAATTCGGCCCAACTTTTTAACGGACTGGGAAAAAGCATTATCCATGGCCTCTGCAGATGCCACGTCGGCTTGGAATACAAGGCACTGGAAGTCGACGCTACCTCTAGCCTTGGCTGCTTCCTCAATCTCGACCTTCGCCCCGTCAAGTGTGGATTTGGTCCGCCCTGTGATAACGACAGCGCGTACCTTGGCCACTGCAAAGGCGATAGCTGTTGCTTTGCCAATTCCAGTTGCACCGCCAGTAATGAAAACAGCCTTTCCGTGAGCCGATAGAGAAGGCTCCAGAGGATCGATGGCAGCGTAAGGCGAGTGATGCCATGTTTTGGTGAAGGAAGGAAACCTCGACATGGTGCGTTTAAGTTTTTAAGGTTGAAACGCTTGAGAGTCTTCTTCCTAGTCGGTGGCAGATCACGTCGTACCTTTTGCGGTGGGTATACTGGGAGGACTGTTTTGTATCAAACACTCTAGGTATTTCGTGAGGATGTGCTCTGCTTTATACTCGAGCCGCCGTATTGGTGGAACAATATTGTTGCCGCCCAGTATATGCAGTAAGCTGGAGACATTTGAAAAGAGGGATGTTGTTACATCGGACATCGTGAGATGCCTGCAACATCTAGAACCGGTCGCGGTGAGAAACACCAATGACCAACGGCTCCACGGACAGTAGGTCAGAGCACAAACATCAGAGCAAGGCTGCATACCTTTAGTTAGAGCCAACATGACTATCCCCAAATAATCACACTCTGCGGTGGAATAGTCCGGTCACGGTTCGGACGTGAGCCAATAAGCCACAGGGGAGAGTAAGCCAGCCTCGACTGGCCGAATTCGGCATGGCCCATGGACACGGGTACATTTGGATAAGCCAACTTGTACAAGTATCTGCATGTTGTTGCTCGACCAGCTGCTGGTGTTTGATTATGATTGCTGATTCATGGGACACTCCCCACGGGCGCGTTGATAGGGTCCAGGGCCTTGTTGAGTGCTCAGAGGTATTGTCAACACAGCCTAACAAGGATGTCGGTTTTCTGGAGCTCAAGACATGTCCTTGTAAGCGGATTGGAGGCTTCAGGTGTCCTTCCGTCCAACGTCTACAGGACTATTTGTGTCGGGCATTCGCAGGGATCGAAAACCCTCGGGTCATGAAATCGGCGTCCCTTCGACTCTTTTCGTCTGATTTCTTAGAGTACAAGGAGCTGATATTTTCGTTCTCACGCCTTCTCTTCTTCCTAGCTGCTTCCTCTTCCATGACTCGGGCGGTAAGACTGGCGGTTGCAGCATTCTTAATCCCATTTGGCAGATTTGTTGTCGAGTTCCCTGCCTGGCTTGTCGCAGGGAGGGAGGTGCTGGACGATGTTGATTTCTCCTGCCCATTGGTCCCCGTTGCTTGCTTTTCCGAGGCTTGCTGCACTTGGTCTGATTTACTGTGACCATTTGCCTTCCGCTTCTTTACCCCATTGGCCTTTTTCAGAGAGTGCGAGAGTCCCAGAGACCTCAGGGCCTCGATCCGCTCGATCACGCGCGTTTTGTCTTGCTCAGTGCTTGGAAGTATGGGGATAACATCCCTTTCCTCATATGGAGTGCCACACTGGACACATTTTCCCTCGCTCTTCATCTCTTTGATGGCCTCTTGTGAAAATGCATGACCACAGGGAACGAGGTAGACTGCTTTGGTATTGGGGCCCAGTTCTTTAGATGTCACAGGGCAGATCCATCGGTCTGACTTGGTTTTCTCATCGTGTTCTGCTTCAAATTGCACTTCGACTACATCCTTGAGGCTGTTGATCCGACCTTGAATAAATTTCTCGTACTCTTGTTTGTCCACAGAGCTGGCTTCGGCAGGGAGCAGAAACTGAATAATGGCGTCCTTATTGTAGAGATCGCCTGAGTAATCTGAAACGATAGGCTTGACGAGGGGTTTGCGGGAGACTGGGCAGGTAGACCAACGATGAGCAAGGTGCTCTTTTTGCTTGTCTTTGAGTTCGGTGGCAGTTGGATTCCGCGCCGCTTCCTTGACGAGTTCACGCCGTGTTGGGATGCTATCAACGGTCAGTACATTGTACATCGATATCTCACGACTATGGAGACTCAACTCACCTTCCTCCGTCATTGCCCATGATGCTGATGACTTTGGGGCGGTTGGTTTTCGTGAAGAGAGTCGAGTTAGCGATGACGAGTATCTAGCCTGCCCTGCCTGCTAGCCTTACGAGGTACAGTAGAGTAAAGTTCATCGGTTGGGGTGTGGGTGGGTGGCAACAGGGTCTCCACAGCCTTTCCACCTTCCCCCTCCCCCGCCGCTGCCTCTCTGCCTCTCCCAAGCGCCACCCACACCAACTGACAATACTCGCTACGAATTAATTTGCCAACAGGGCCTGCCAAAGAGGTTACCGAAGAGGGAATGCAGTTTCCCCCTCGCGCCACAACATGATTTGTGTCATTCACCCACCGCCTCGGGAGATAAGACGTTGGACATTCAGCATAACATGGATACGCAGCAACAGCTTCAACATGACTTAGCCATCACTCCAAAAACAGCCAATCTCTTGATCCAACTTGGTTATACATCATATCGCGACCTTCGCAATCTTTCGCCCAACCAGATCGTAGATCAGCTCAAGACACTTCCTGATGTTATGCCCGCGCAGGCAGAGCAATACCGACGGGGTTTGCGAAGGATGGTCTGGCTAGCAACTCAAGATAACCCCAGGGCGCAAGCTCAGTTATATCCGAATTGGACCCAGAAAGCGCTCAAAGGGCGTGGTTTGTGGAGAGACGATATCGATTACGACGGGCTTAGCGGAGATGAAGTCAATCAACTCCATCATGAGATAAAAGACAGGGAGTTTTCGATTGGCTAGGCTTGAATCCTCTTAACAAACTGGCGCCAGAACGCAATAAATGACGTGAGGAGTCCTTCACATTCGATTTTGCAAGAACGACAAACCTTGTTAAACGGACTTTCTACCGACAAATGCCGAGCTTTTATCACCATCGCTATAGAATGTATAAAGAGTCTTGATGCTGCTCACCAAAACAAATCCTTTCAAGTCACTTCAGCCACGTCAAATCTTCCTATCTACACCTTTCCGGAAACGTTATCACCAACCATCGAACAACATGAGAGTTCTCCTGACTGGCGGATCTGGCTTTATCGCCGCCCACTGTGTCGACTACCTGCTTCAGCGGGGCCACTCTGTTGTTTTTACCGTGCGCTCGCTAGAAAAGGGTCAAAAGATCTTGAGAAATCATCCTGGCCTACCAAAGGATAAACTCAACTACGTAATTGTTGGCGACATCGCACAAGAAAATGCCTTTGACGAGGCCGTCAAATCAGATCCTCCCTTTGAGGGCGTTTTGCACACGGCATCGCCATTCCATTACAACGTCACCGATCCAAAGAAAGATCTGCTAGATCCTGCCATCATTGGTACGACTGGAATCCTCAAGGCTGTCAAAAAGTACGCGCCTACCGTCAAACGCATAGTTATCACGAGTTCTTTTGCAGCGATTATAAACCCATCGTCGCACGAAAAGATCTACAGCGAGAAGAACTGGAACCCGATTACGGAAGAAGAAGCCATTCAGAACCCAGCGAACGCATACCGCGCGTCAAAGACCTTCGCTGAGCGGGCGGCATGGGAGTTTGTCGAAAAGGAAAAGCCCAACTTTGACATTGCCACCATCAATCCACCACTCGTCCTTGGCCCCGTTGTGCACTATCTCAATTCTCTCGATACGATCAACACTTCCAACGAACGAGTCAGAAACATGATCCAAGGCCGGACCAAGGATACCGGTCTTGCTCCTTCAGGCGTCTTTATTTGGGTCGACGTTAGGGACGTCGCGCTCGCTCACGTCAAAGCCTTGGAAGTTCCCGAAGCAGGTGGCAAACGATTTCTGACAACAGCAGGCCACTACTCCAACGCCGACATTGCGCAGATTATCAAGCAGCGCTTCCCGGATCTGGCTGATAAGCTACCCGACAAGATCGAGAGTGACAGGCCACAAGACTGCTATCAGTATGACAACTCGAGAAGCAAGGAGGTGCTGGGCCTGAAGTACCGGAGCCTGGAGGAAAGTGTTGTGGATACCGTCAAGTCTTTACTCGCAGTTGGTGCTTAAAGCTCCAGTATCTATCCCAACAGCACGAGAGTCAGGCTCCAATATAGTTCAAACGGTCGAGATGTCGGACTCTCCTGCTGGATTTTCTGCAAGACTTGGGACTGGATAGGTAAATATCCATGTAAAAGCAGTCTTGGTTAACGTGGTCGTGGATTTGATGGCTAGAACGTTCATTCTCATAGAAGCCAGAAAAGAGCAAGGCATGACAAATATACAGACAAGGACAAGATATATAGAAACTGCCATCTCCTATGCTCTAGTAGACAATTAAGTAGACATACTGATCAGACGAGAATAAAAAATGTTACCCTATAGAATTGAAGCAATAGTAAAACAGTCAAGCCCCCAGACCCGCTTATAACCCATCTATTTCTACGAAACTCACATGTTGTAAGATGTCCTTTGTCCTTTTTGGGATGATTCCCATCCGTTGTCTGAATCCAGCGTATCACGTCATGGTCCGTCTGGTACCCGAGCAGTTGAGTGATGACCTCGAAGAGAGTGGATGCAATACAGACGTCGATCCTCCCGAAATTTATCCAACCAATCGAACGCACCTGCGTGGGCTCTGTAACCCCGGTGGCACCCTTTTCTGCAGTCTCCTCCATGCCCCAGGCTTGACCCAAGCATGATGAGACGTGAAGCTCGTTGTTTGTCAGAAACATGACGTGGCCGAGTATGTTTCTCTGCTTTCGTCGGCAATAGCCAGTTCAGGATGTGCCGTCCCTTGACGATCCACTCGGACCACTTTCGATCAAGCCGCTGGAACTCGAAATGTCGCCCCTTTTCTCATCGGCCTCGCTTCGCTGTTGTGCGTCTTCCCTCTCTTTGTCCTTCTTCTTCTTGTCCTTTCTCGTCTCCAGCTTCGTTCGTCCCAGTCCCAAACTCGCCACAAAGGCACCGGCGCCGCATCCGACACAGAGGTAGAACGTACTTGTGATCGCCTGATTGTACGCCCGGAGCACGCCGTGCCTTGTGTCCGCGTTGGCGCCCCCAGCAGGGAGCGTGGCGAGGTAGTTCGTCGCACCAGTGTTGATTACATCCTGTGCATTCACACCAGGGGCATAAGTGCGCATTGCATGACTGAGTAAGTTGATGAATATGGTTTGACCAAGGCTGATGAACAGCGCAGCGCCGAAAGTCTGTGCAAAAGCCACAGTAGCGGTTGCGACAGGGATCATGGCAGGTGAAACGATGGACTGGACCGCTTGGATGGGTTGCTGCATTGTGATGCCTCGTCCGACGCCGTTGAGGATCTGATATCCGACGTACTTACCTGCGCCAGTATGCATGGTGAGTGTGCTGGTCAGCCCTGCTGCGATTGTAACAAAAGCTGAACCCGTTGCAGCTGGTGGCGCGAGATAGCCGAAGTAGGGCGTTAGGGCACCGATAAGAATGGCGCTGGTAATCTGCAGCGCAAAAGTTGGGAGAATGTTGACTGCACTCATCGTTGGACTTAAGGATTTGATCACTTGGAACCACAAGGGAAGGTAGTAGACGAAGACCGTCATACCGCCATATTGAAACATGGCGTTGATCAAACAGCTGTAAATGACTCGCTGCCGTACTAGCGACACTGGAATCATGGCAGATTCTCCCTGACGGTACTCCCAAATGATGAAGGCTGTAATTGCCCCTGCTGAGCCGCAAAACAGTCCAATGATCGTAGCGGACGACCATGAATAAGTACTCCCACCCCATTCTAGAGCGAGGAGGAGCATAATGCAGGCTGGCGCAAAAATGGAAAATCCGGTGATGTCAAAGTCGCGAATCACGTCTCGAAAGGTCCAGTTTGTTTTGCCAGCTTTGTATACCGGAAAGCCGATGAACATGGTCGCCACAATGGTCACCGCGCCGACGGGAAGATTGATCCAAAAGCACCAGCGCCACGATGCATGTTCAGTCAATGCGCCTCCGATCAGCGGCCCTATGACTTGTCCAGCACCGGCGAATGACATGAGGAGACCCATCATTGTAGGCCGTACGGAAGGAGAGGCGGAGACGGCAAATATGGTGAGGACTCCATTCATCAGGCCCGATGAGCCCATACCGGCGATTGCTCGTCCCACTACCAGCATTTTGCTAGATGTGGCGAGGGCACAAATTAGTGAACCCAGTTCGAAAACGGCGGCAAAGGCGATAAAGGCTGGCTTAAGTGAGAAGTATGTGAACACTTTTCCGGTGAGAGGCTGCAAAGATGCATTTGTGATCATGTATGCTGCAGGGTACCAGCCGACTGTCGACTATTGTTAGCCTGTGTCTCGAGACTATCTCTCATCCGGCAAGAACTCTTGCGAAGTGCTGTCGTGGTTCTGAAAAGGGGGCCCCGGGGGGGGGGGGGGGTTCTCACTATCGGCGATTGTATGAAAGTGATCCGTAATCTTAGGAATGGCGGTCGCAAGGATAGAGACATCGAGAGTGACAAGCAATATAACAAGCAGAAGGGAGCCACCCAGAAGTGTCAAGGCGCGTGGTCCTAGGTATTGATGTTCCTCGTCCTCTTTAGCAGAAGACGACCCCAACGATTGTGCATTTTCAACATCGTCGGCACGGTCAGTTGGGACATTTGTGGAGGCAGCGGGCGACGTATGTGTTGAGGTGTCAGCTCGCGTCTTCATTTTGGCCAGTGCTGCGTTCAAAAGAATGGCCTATTGAGGACTGACAGTGACAAGCCTGAACGATTCAAGGGCATGGGCCAATCTGATGTTTATATTAGCCCGGATTAGGGAGGGCGGCCTGTGATCCGGTACCCCTGCTTTACACTCCGTATCCGGCCTCCACCGTCCCCTGTATAGACCATCGACCACTCACCTAGCCAGTCGGAGGTTAGAGTCTCGAAGCGACGGCTCGAACCATCATACCAGGTGGGTCTCGCTGCTCTGCATAGAGCTAGAATTGTATGTTGGCGTTCCAGTCAGCCATGAGGTCTGGCCAGAGGCCGTCCTCGAAACCCCTGAACAACTCTTCGGTGGAGATGGTTTCCGAAAGCACACCGGTGTCTGGACCCGGAGCTACAACGTTGGCTTCCGCGTTGAGCTTGCTGGCGTACCACTTTTTACAAGCACGCATTTTCTCTGCGAACAAGCTGAAGCGTGCTGCAACGGCGTTATTCGATGGTGTATCTCCAGCGGCAAGGCTCTGTTGGGAAACCGTTTCCATCTTTTGCGCCATTCGGTCTATAGCGGACGGAAAACTCATTTGAGAGCCTCTTATCGATTGCAAGTCCCACCCGTCGAGGACAAGAAATGACATCTTGGCTAGAACAACCAAAGCGTGGATGAGATGCAGCCAAAAGGGGAAAGTTAGATTTGGCACACACCGCCATGGGATGGCATCTAGGCTGTCAAACAATAGGCTGACATGACTCAGACACTTGTATAGTGCTTCGGCACGGTGATACGGGCTCTCTGCGGGGACTGCGAATACGGTTTCAAAAAGGCAGATATAAGCATTTTGGGTCTGCATCTTCAGGAGCTCGTTGCCCGTCAGGCTGGGGGGTACACTCTCCTCGTATTGCTTGAGGTCTTTTTCGAAACAACTCATAAAACTCCGTAGAGGCACAGTAGACGTCGTCAACAGCCCGAGAGAGGGAGAATAGACCTCTACGTTCCGATGTAATCGGACCACATAGACAGCATAGATATCAGAGGGGTATTCTGCTGCGGCGACGAGAGCATTGCAACAGTCTTCCAAGTGTTGTGTCCAGCGCATAGGGTCCGACCTCCGAAAGCAGGATGACAATAGCCCAGACAGACTGTATACTCCAAGCAGGGCCCGTTGGTCGTCGGAGGTCTGGATACCATGGTTGGCCAGCTTGCCGTGGAATAACTCGGCGGCGTCAACCACCATGCCAATCGGGGTCAGTACTGCTGGCTGTCTAGGTCGATTTAACCCAAGGTCTGCAACCAAGGCGGTTGCCAAATATAGAAGGTTCATCACTTGCGGGTTGCTGTGAGAGTAGTAGTGGTACCAAGAGCTGAATACCAAGAGGCCTTGCAGGAGATCGAGAGATTTTTCCCCTTTCATCAGCATGTGCTCCCCGATGTATCTCATCAAGTCATCAGCAAGCTGCCGTAATAATGACGGCTCAGCTTGAGCGGCCACCGTGATGCATGCCCGGAAGAGAAATGGTTTCTCCTCGCGAAGGGCAACAGCTGTTGTTTGAGGGGGGATCACCACAAAAGGGAAGTGTACATTCATCTGTGTGCGGAAGTCGCTGAATAGCTTTTCTTCCAACACTGGTGCCAGAGTTACTCGAAATGAATCGCTTGCATTTGCGACACTGACTCCCACAGATTTCAAAGACTTTGCGCAGCTCGTTACTTGACTTGTGGTGGACTGTCTCTGATTGGTCGTGTTGCTGTCGCCTCCCCCTGTCAGCACCATCGACGTTGAGGTCGGGAGCGAGGCGGACCATAGTCCGTTGGGAAAACCAGCAACACTTTCCGCAACAGTCGGGTTATCAGGCTGGGAGTACTGGCTGCCGCTACTTGGAGCAACGGTAGGCTCAAGCCGTGCAACAGGATCGCCGTCATTGTGCGCCAAGAGATCCGCCAGAGTATTGATCTTTTCCTCCAGGTGTGAGACGCGCGTTGACCTGCCGTTATTGCGCCGTTTGCGTGGCAGCGGTGCCGGAGTCGTGCAGAACTTGCCCAGGCGGTGGCATCGTACACAGATCGAGTTGGCAGACCCTTCCAATGGGACGCATTTCGCTTTGATCTGGACGCAAGGGCGACACGCCCGATTTGCTCTTAATCCCGGCGTGTCAGTATGAGGCGGAGGCGGCGGAAGTACGGAGTTGGTGGCCATCATGGCATAAAGAATTCAATTGTATGCTGAACCAGCGTCGTTGTGCTTGACACTGACGCGCATGTTCAAGCCCAGAAATGGGGGAGTTTCGAATGGCCTTCCTCTCTCCTCTGCTTCCTCGTCAATTTCTTTTTCAATTGTCGATACAGAATGGTTATCCGCTCATCTATCACCCCCTAGACAGCCAGAAG